GGAGGATGCCATGGCACTCTAGCCCGGGCAACATAGTGAGATTCTGTCTCAAAAAAAAAAAACAAAACCTCACTCATTACTGCAAGGAGGCACCAAGCCATTCAGGAGGGATCTTCCCCAAATACCTCCCCTTAGGTCCTACCTTCAACATTAGGGATCAAATTTCAACATGAGACTTGGTGGGGCCAAAAAAACCCATATCCAAACCATAGCACCGGCCAAGATGAAATCCAGTAAAAAGCTAACACACTTTTAAAAATAGACTTTGTTTTAGGTTCACAACAAAATTGAGCACTTCCCCTCTCCCCACGACCTCACCCACTATCAACATCCCGCATCAGAATGGTAACATTTGTTACAATTGATGAATCTACATTGACACATCATTATCACCCAAAATCTATAGTTACATTATGGTTAAGTCTTGATGTTGTACATCCTGTGGGTTTTGATAAATATATAGTATCACAAGGAACAGTTTCGCTGCCCTAAACATTCTCTGTGCTCTTTAGGCCTCTTCCCTACTCCCTGGCAACCACTGATCTTTTTATTGTCGCCATAGTTTTGCCTTTTCCAGAATGTCATATAGTTGGAATCATATAGTATGTACCTATTTCAGATAGACTTTTTTCATTTAGTAATATGTATTTAAATTTCCTCCATATCTTCTCATGGTTTGATAGCTCATTTCTTATTAGTGTTGAACAATATTCCATTTTGGGGGGATGTGCTACAATTTGTTTATCCATTAACCCACTGAAGGACATCTTGATTGCTTCCACATTTTAGCAATTATGAGTAAAGCTGCTATAAATATGGATAATATATATGGATAAATATGTACATGCAGGTTTTTGTGTGGATATGCATCATATGTTTTCACTTCATTTGGGTAAATATGAAGGGGTATGATTGCTGAATCATATGGTAAGGATTATATTTAGTTTTGTAAGAAACTGCCAAACTATCTTTCAAAGTGCCTGTACCATTTTGTCCTCCCATGAGCAATGAATGAGTGTTCCTGTTGCTCTATATTCTTGCCAGCATTTGATGTTCAGTGTTTTGGATTTTGTCCATTCTAATCAATGTGTAGTGGTATCTCATTTTTGCTTTTAATACATATTTTATACATGGATAAATACTTCAAAAAGACAAAATAAATCATCACTTAAAAAACAAGGTGGTTAAATTAATCCTTAAGCATTATTCTCTTAAAAAAAAAGAATTATTCTCTTAGGAAGTCACATAAAATTATGCACAAAATAATTTCAGATTTTTCTCAAAATATATTATTTGTGTCCATACTTTTTGTTCTTTTCTGCTGTCTGATATTCAGATACCTACAGATTACCACACTGTTATTATCTAAAGCCAACATCTAATTGATGTTCTTGCATGAAAGACAGTGAAGCCCTTTTGGTCGAATCTACTCTTTAGGTACTCGTTATGACTAAAAACTGTGTGTGATGGTTAATTTTATGAGTCAACTTGACCGGGACGTGGATTTCCCAGATATTTGATCAAACATTATTCTGGGTGTGTCTGTGAGGGTGTTTCTGGATGAGGTTAATGTTTGAATCGGTAGACTGAGTAAAGCAGATTCCCTCCACCCCTAATGTGGATGGGGCTTCTTCAATTAATGAAGGCCTAGAATAAAATAAAAAGAGAATTTCCTCTCTGCCTGACTGTCTTAGAGCTGGGACACTGGACTTCTCCTGCCTTTGGACTTAGACTGGAACTACACCATTGGTTTTCTTCAGTCTCCAGATTATCTATCTATCTATCTATCTTCTGTTAGTTCTGTTTATCTGGAAAACTCTGACTAATGCAGTGGGAAACAGTGAAAATTCTGATGAGGGAAATGGCACAGAATTGGCTCAATCAAGGTAGATGTGTTAACAATATGCAGACAAAACTTGTTCCATATACTTCATGGTTAAATTTTCAAGGTTTTATCACAAATACATGAAGAATTAACATTGTTTTCTTTGATGTCTTGAGACTGCCTAGACTGACCACTTTGCAACCTGACAGCTAGTCAGTTTCCCTCTAGAAAAATGAATAAGACTCATCATGGTTTCTCAACATCCCACTTTTCCTTCTTCTTTTATAAATCCAGTTTTTAAAAAAATTTTCATTTGTCATTTACCTATTTGCTTTCTCCTTCATATAAGTAAACTTGTTCACATATAATTAACTGCCTCCATGTTATTCTTTGACAAGAATGAGTATATATAAAGAAGAGAGGCTGGGTGTGGTGGTTGATGCCTGTATTCCCAGCACTTTGGGAGGCCGACGTGGGAGGATCACTTGAGGCCAGGAGTTTGAATCTAGCTTGGGCAATATAGCAAGATCCCATCTCTACAAAAAATAAGATTAGCCAGGCATGGAGAAGCATGCCTGAAGTCCCAGGTTCAGGAGGCTGAGGCAGGAGGATTGCTTGAGCCTAGGAGTTTGAGGCTGCAGTGAGCTACAATTGCGCCACTGCTCTCCAGCCTGGGTGACAGAGCAAGACCCTGTCTCCAAATGAATGAATAAATGAATAAATAAATAAATAAGAGAAGGTGCCAAAAGACTGAACCTGGAGCACTCCACTATTTAGAGGTGAGGAAGAAGAGAGGTCACTGAGGATGTCAGTGAAGTTGGAGGAAATAAGGAGAAGGTAGTACCCTGAAAACCAAGATAAGAAAGCATTTATAGGAGCAGTGACAACTGTCAAATGCTGCCTAGTGGTTCAGTAAGAGCAGTGTTGCAACTTGACCACAGATTTGGCAACTTGGAAGTCATTGGTTATCTTCACAAACATGGTTTCAGTGACTGGTGGGAACAAAAGCCTACTTGAAGTGGGATGAGGAGGAAATAGAGGAGAGGACACACAGAACTGTTTTGGGTGTTGCTGTAAAGAGGATCAGAGAAATGAGGTAAGTATATCTATAGGATGAACCCAGAAGTGGAATTACTGGGTTAAAGGGTATGTATTTTTGTAATACTGACAGATATTTCTCAAATGCCATCCATAAGAGTTGAATCAATTTACACTCCCACCAGCAATTTCTTTCTCCACAGTCTATTATAAAATTTTTGGATTTTTAATAATCTGAAAGGTGGAAAAATCTTAGGATTTTTTTTTAAAGATGAGAACTATAAGCATATTAGTATACCATAGAAAGAAAGCCTGATAATGCAGGAGAGAGAGAGGAGAAAATTTCAGGAACAGAATCCTTCACTAGACTGAAGGAATGGGATCCACTGACTGCATCAAGGATTCATTTAACAGGCACAGATGCAGGCAGTACATTTTGGGGTGGAACCAAGTGCAAGCTTCTTTTGATTGCCTTCATTTTTCAGGGGAAATAAGAGTCAAGGTCAGTTAAGTCAGGGGAGAGGAGGGAGTGTTGAAAATTTGAGAGAAGAGATATAAATTGCTTCTCTTAAGAGAGTGGGAGAGTAGCCTGAGTATTGAAATGTAGATTGTTGGGCAGCACTGAAGGTCCCCTTGAGGATTACGGCCATAAATTGAAAGTGAAGGATGAGGGACAAGGAACCACCACAGATGAGGAAGACTCCTACTTCAGGGAGATTTGAGTAAAAACAAAATTAAAAACAAAACATTTATCAAGCATTCATTTAACAAATATTTATGAGGAATGCAAAGGCACTCTTGTTGGGTGCCTTTTGTGTCACTTAAAGCAGAGCACAAGCATATTCTTATCTGCTCTTCACACAAGATAATTAAGTTATTCACTCTGCAAACAAAAATACAAATAGTCACCACGGAAGCTCTTTGAATAAATTGTTCTTAAAATGGGGGGGGGAGGGTATTTTCTGACTCCTTTAATAGCCTCAACGAACAGCTTCTCAGAAAAATAAGCATATAGAAAATTTGCAGACAATTTCAGGTTGTCCTAGAACCACAAATTAAGAAACCCTCCCCCAAATTAAGAGCCCTTATTTTTAAACAGTGTATCGTTCTAGAATATTTTATAACGTTCAGTTTGCAAAAAGCTTTTTATGAGCAACTTTATGGTTGCATATTGGACACCTCGACAAGGGCTCTGAATTTAAAATCATTTTAAGTTTTGAAAAAGTGGCAAAAATAGACGATAAAGTATGTCCGAGGCCAAAGAAAACAAAGTTGCAAAAGTAGGATAGCGTTCCCCTATACTCTTCATCAAGAATCGCCGAAGGTTAACATCTTACATAACGGTAGTACGATTGCCAAAACTATTGATACAATACCATTAGCTAATATTAGTTAAGAGACCTTTTTCAAATTTCGTCAGTTGTCCCACTTATGTCCTTTTTCTGTGCCAGTATCCAATTCAGGATTTCACATTGCCTTTGGTTGTAATGGACCTGGCTTTTTTATTTTTTTCCTTAAAGAGTTAGGAGTCTCGCCTAGGCTGGAGTGCAGTGGCTATTCACAGGCGCGATCCCACAACTGATCAGCATGGAGTTCCAGAGTCTTGACCTGCTCGGTTTCTGACCTGGGCCGGTTCATCCCTCCGTAGGCAACTTGGTGGTCCTCTTCTCTGCGGAGGTCACCACACTGATGCCGATCTTAGTGTGGACAACCCGTGCGCATAGCGCACTGCAGCCCAGAACTCCTGGGCTCAAGCTAGTCTCACACCTCAGTCTCCCCAGTGGCTGGGATTACAGGCGCGCGCCACTACGCCCGGATTTTATTTTATTTTTAAAAATTTTAATGCAAGCCACGTACTTAAGGGATGTGTGTTCTTGGGCAAATTACTTAACGTTTCCGAGTCAGTTTTCCATATTAATAGACGTGATACGATGAAGAACCAATTAAAAAAACACGTTTGGAATGATTTTGGAAACTTAGAAATAAATTTTTCTTATTGCATACCCAGAGTTCACCTTTTCGTCACCCAAACCAAAAGAAAACAAAGCAAACAGAAGCGTATTCATGTTGTCGAGTTGTTTTGTCCCAAAGTAGTACCTGTAGCTCCTCCCACTACCGCCAGGAAAAGCCGCTTCTAATTGGACAGCGTGTGTCCGCCATGATTCAGGAAGCCTGCCTCATTGGTCCGCGTAGTCGGGACTCCGGCGGCTTTTCTCTGTAGCTCTCAGGGCGCCGGTCCACTTGTCTTCCTCTAAGTGAGCGCTCCCTTACTTCTGGTGCCTGGAGCTGCTAGCCTAAAGGGATCCAGACCGAGCTAGGCCGGGTAACTGCATTGGGTCAGCCGGGAAGAAACAGCGGCCATGGACCACTGGTGGGAGGGTGGTTGGCGAGCCTGGGTATTAAAACTGCCTTTTCTTCGCGCCTCCTTCACGCGCACAATCAAAGCGATTTCTGTGGTTCGCCTCCTGCGCTGGTCCCACCTGCCCCGGGCTGCTCCTGGCTCCCCTCAAAGACTCCGGGTCCCCCTCTGCCGCCCTTCCGGGGGCCCCGCCTTCACCGCCCGCGTCTCCCCACGTCCGCACCTCCGCGGCCCCGCCCCCTTCGCGCCCCTCTCCACGGGCCCCGCCCTCGCGAGCGCGCTTCCTTCCATTCTCTTCGTCACCTGTGCGCCCCCTTTGGCCCCTCCCTGGCACCTCCAAGTTTGATTCTACCCCTCCCTGGTACTTCTACCTCTCTTTCAATCAAGCCCTGCCTCCTTTGCACCTCTCTCCCCATCTGACTGCTGGGGCCCGGATTCTCCCACGGATCCAGGCTGCCTGTATGTAGGTTTAGCAAACTGTGCAGAGGCGTTGTGCTGGGCATCGGGCATGGAGATTAGCTATTGGAGGCCCCTGCTTTCAAGAACTCCCTGTCCCATGGGAGAGAATCATTTTGTAATGGAGTATAACAGGCCCAGTGATAAGTCTTTAATAAAGGCAGCACAGTGTTGGGGTTGGGATGCTTAGAGGAAGGAGTACTAGAGGGTTTTTTGTTTTGCCATTACTGCTGGATTCTCAAGTAGGCCTGTGGGGCTAAGCTCCACCTTTTCTCCAAAATGACCTTGGCTGCTTCTGGTGCAGAAGCCTGGCCCCCACCATGGTCTTTTAAACACTTGAGAATTATTAAAATCTTGGTATGGGGTATGGGCCGTTCTTTTAACCAATCAGAATTAGTAGGGCTTCAGAGACCATCCCTCCAAGCCCTCAGTGTGCTGACCGGGAGGTTGAAGGCCAGAGACAGATGAGTGAGTGATTGCCTAGGCAAGCAAGTGACTCAGCTCATACTCTTGGTTCTTTTTCGAGTTTTTCCTAAGGATTCTTACCCAATTTTTCAATTACCCAACAGTCTTAGTTGATAGGAAAACTAAAAATAAGCATGGATAAAACCACTAGTCAGTAAAATAGACTCCTCTGAGCCAGTGCACTAGTACAAGTATATATTATTCAAAAGACAGTAATTCATACCTCAGGTTCTTGGAGTCAGGCATCCCTGGGGTCTGGTCCCAGCTTTACCATTTGCTGTAAAGTTTGGGAAAGAAACTTCCTTTATCTGAGCTTCAGTTTTATTTTCTATAAAAAGAGCATGGTAAACCCTAATACACAGGGTCATTGTAAGGATTTGTTGAAATTCTGTTTATGAAGACAAATGAATTTTAGGGTCCTGTACATTTTAGGATCTCAGCACAAATGAGCCTCCTGTGATTCTGATTCATGTCTGTCTAGCTCAAGTCAGCAAAGAGCCTGGTTTGTTGCTCTCTTCCAGGCACCATGACTACCCTGGATGATAAGTTGCTGGGGGAGAAACTGCAGTACTACTACAGCAGCAGTGAGGATGAGGACAGTGACCACGAGGACAAAGACCGAGGCAGGGGTGCTCCAGCCAGCAGTTCCATGCCTGCAGAGGCTGAACTGGCAGGCGAAGGCATCTCAGTTAACACAGGTATTGGAAAACCCTGAGTTCTGGCTTAAAAAATGTTCATTAAACATGAATTAATTAGAAGTCTCCTAATCACTTCTAACTCCAGTCCCGCTTCCAGAGATAACCCAGTCTTATCATTTCACTGTGTATGCTTCTAGCCTTTTTACTGCACAATACAAATGTGTGTGCATAGCAGCATGGTAATGAACACAGACTGGCCTCGGTTTGAATCCTGCTTTTCAAGTTAGTAGTTGTTTGATATCACATAAATCATAGGTGTATTTGGTAGTATAACTTCCTATAAATGGCATATTTATACTTTCATACTTTAATACTTTCAAAAGCACCAATTTTTAGTTTAATCGATACTTCTTTGTACACTTGTCTTCCTACTGTGTTATCAAACTTGTTGACCTTTGCCATCCTGATGGATGACAGATAGTAACTCATTGTAGTTTTATTTCCCATCTTTCTTTTTAACGGGTAGATTGAACCTCTTTTCATAATATATATGAATTTTTAATTATAATATATATATTTTATATATATAAAATATATATATATAATATATATATATTTTTTTTTTTTTTTAGAGACAGAGTCACACTCTGTCACCCAGGCTGGAGTGCAGTGGCACGATCATAGCTCACTGCAGCCTTGAATCCAGGGCTCAAACAGTCCTCCCACCTCAGGCTCCTGAGTAGTTGGAACTGTGGGTGCATACCACCATGCTTGGCTGATTTTATTTTTTTATAGAGGCGGGGCTCTCACTATGTTTGGACAGGCTAGTCTTCTGGCCTCAGGAGATCCTTCCCCCTCGGCCTCCTAAAGTGCTGAGATTACGGGTATGAGCCACCGTTCTTGGTTTCTCTTAATAATTATAAGAGATATTTGTATATCCTTTGCTCATTTTTAAAATTGGGTGGTTGGTCTTTTTCTTCTTGGGGAGCCGTATATTAAGGAAATTTGTGGTATAATTTGTAAATATTTCTTTCACTTTGTTGTTGTTTTTTGACTTTATATGTTCTTATCCTGGCAGAAAATTTTTATTTTTATGTACTTAAAAGTGTTATTTTATAGTTTTTTACTTAAAAGACCTTCTTCACACCACTTTATGAAAGGCCTCACTTTGCTTTATCAAGAGATTCTCCCATACTTTTTTCTTAGTGTTTTTATAATTTAGTTTTTTTTTACACTTAAATACTGATTCATCTGGGATTCATTTTGATGTAAGGTGTGCAGTAAGGCTCCGGCTTTTTTCATATTGCTACTCAGTTGTTTCAGCATCATTTATTAAATATGCCATCTTTTGTCCTTTATTTTGAAAATAATTTTATCATGTACTGAATTTCTGTTTATGTTGGGTCTTTAGCTGTACTTTATAGTGTCTTCCATTGATTTGTCTTTTACTAGGTTATGTCTCACAATTTTAAAATATTTTAGTATCTGGCAGGGCTAGACCCCCTTCAGTACTCTGCTGTGTCATTTTTTCTTAACTTTTGCTTTATTATTTTTTCCAAAGCAAATATGTGTATTCACATATTTTCATTGGGAATTCATTAAATATATAGATTAATTTGGGGATAATTGGCACCTTGTAATATTGAGTATTTCTATTCAAGAACATGATATTCCTTTTCCATTTATTGAAGTCTTAGTGTTTCTTGGTAGCATTTTAAAGTGTGCTTTATATAGATTTTTATATATTTTTCCTGTGGTAACAAATGACCCTAAAACCTCCTTGTGACAACAAAGGTTTATTCTCAGTCATACTACATGCAGCCTGTGGGTCAGTGGTGGCTCTTCTTTTGCTTCATATGTTCTCTCATTCCAGGAACTAGGCTGAAGGAGTAACCCCTGTTTGGTGGACATAGTTTTCATGGCCGAGCACAGAGAGCAAGAGAGGAGCTGTTGGAAACATACAATAGCTCATAAATCTTTTGCTCAGACCTGGCATACTTCAGTTTGCTCACAATCCACTGGATAGATCAAGTCACATGGCCAAGCCTAACATCACTGGGCTGGGGATACATGTTGTCATCCCACTGGAGGTAGTGCAAGTCACATGACAAGGAACTAGGATATATAGTCCTTTAACAGCATGAAGATTGAGGGGTTGAGGGTAGCTTGAATAACAGAACAATGATACAGCCTGCCACATCTTGCTATAAAAAATTCAGATAATACAGAAGTATAGAAAGGGAAAAGTAAAAGTTCTCTTTCATCAGCCGCCTTATCCTACTATGTGGAGACAACCACTGTTAACAGTTTACATATCCTTTAAGCCCTTTTTCTTTGAACATGCAAGTGTATAAACAAACATATACATATCCATGACATAAATACTCATGTACACGTACAGTTCATTTTGTAAAAACTGCAGGATCATATCATAATATTGTTCTACATTTTGCTTTTTTTTTTTTTTTAAATCTAATATATTCAGAATGTCTTTCATGGCGGAAAACATAGAGCTGCCTCATTCTTTCTAAGAGTTGCTTTATTTTCCTTTGAATAGATGAATTATAATTTATTTAACTCATCTCCTAATGTTGGGCATTAGCTTGGCCGTTTAATTTTTGCAAACGGTGCTGCAGGGCACATCACTGTGTGTAGACCACTGTGTGCAGAGTGCACAGAGGCTCTGTGTTAACTATGCAGTGGCTGGAGCAAGCTTCAGACAGATGTAAGTACCCACCTACAGATGCAAGTTGGTCCACATTTCCTAGGCCATTCTTGGTCACGTCCATGTTCACTCAGGTCCAAAAGGTGTGATCAATGACTGGCGCCGCTTCAAGCAGTTGGAGACAGAGCAAAGGGAGGAGCAGTGCCGGGAGATGGAAAGGCTGATCAAGAAGCTGTCAATGACCTGCAGGTCCCATCTGGACGAAGAGGAGGAGCAACAGAAACAGAAGGACCTCCAGGAGAAGATCAGTGGGAAGGTAATCAGCAGCACTTGGGCTTTTCTCAGAAGCTTCCCTGGCTGCTAGAACTGGGTTAGTGATTTAAAAGGTGGAGGATGTTTGATTTGGCCTCTGAGAAGCTGTTCAGTGCAGGAGAAATTATAGAGCCATGTCATAACTCAGACACACCTGGGTTTGAATCTCAGCTCTGCCACTACTGGCTGTTAAAAAAAAAAATCTCTTCGCTTCTGTGTCTGGTTTTTCATTGGTTAAATGAGGTCAGTATCATCCCCACCTGGGCTGTGTGGGGAAACTGTCCATCACAGTGCCTGGCCCATTGAAAATGCTCAGTAAATGTTAGTTTCCCTTCTTTTATTCAGATTTTACCTTAGGCCAGAAATAACCCTTTGAGGGTGATGGTATCCCCATTTTGCAGATGATGAAAACAATGCTTAGAGAGCATTAGAGACTTGTTCAGGTCATGCAACTGGTAAATGCTAACAGGAGCTAGGATACTGATCCAAATTTTCCTGTTGTTTCCATGATGTTGCTTTGTTTCATCTGAAGCCTGTTCATGAGAATTTATTCTAACAAGGCCTTATAATAGAAGCAAACAGACACTCTGAAAGATACTTGGAACTAGGTCCCTGATGCCCTCCTGTCTTCTCAGTTTTAAAAGGTTTTCTGTATTTCTCATTGTACCCTCTGACCATAGATGAATGTCTAGGAGTGCCTGAGATCATTAAGCTATGGCCCAAAGCTAAAATACCAGACAGGAGCAGGGAGCAGATAAGAGGATTAAGCTAGGAGTCATTCACCTTGACCAGGAGGATGATTTCAGGGCATTAGACACAGGCAAAGACCAGAGTAGGTTAGAAAGAGCCACTCTGGTAGGCTGAGATAGAGTGGAGAGCTATGAGATGGGAATTAAATTGGCAATAAGTAAAACAGTGAACACATAATGGTCATGGTATGGTAACGACGTCTGTTCTGATCTAGCATGGTCTCCAACTGCCTGACCACTAATACAAGATTAGACAGAGCTAGGGTTTATTTATTAGGGGAGCAGGAGAAGGAAGATGCTTTTGTAACTTAAACTGGCTGTAGGGTATTATGTCCCCTGCTCACAGCTGCTTCCTTATACTGAGGTGAGAGACCAGAGCGAGGCAATATCACACGACCACACGGGTCAGTCTTGAGAAAGGCTGTCTCTGTCCTGCTGATTTATATGCAGTGGAACAAAACTGAAAACTGTCTGATGGCTAGCATTAGGGGAGTGGTTAAGCAAAACATGATACACTATATGTAATTTTATAAAAATATTTAGAAACACGAGGAAATACTTATGCTAAGTTCCACAAGCTGGCTATAGCTTAATTAGTATACCCATGGCTACTGCTATAAAAGCAAAACTATTTCAGCATGTGACTGGGAATGGAAAGAAGAATTCTTAGAGAGTGCATGGGACTGTGTGTGTTGTGTGTGTGTATGCCTATGTGTGTTGGGGGGTTGTGCAGGGCAGGGATTATGGGTGTTCTTTTTAAAAATTCCTTAATGTCCTGTTGTCTTTTGAACAAAAACAAAACAGTAGATAAAATAATTAATCCATTGTCAAGATTGACAAAAAGAAAAAAATCTCATGAAGTCATATCTGGTGCTGCCTATTCGGATTGAGAGGCAATAAGATATTGTAGTTTAAAGCTTGGGTTTTTAAAATCTGGTTTGAGCTCTCTTTGCCCTTCCTTTTGCTTGTCCTGCTGCTACAATGGGTCCTATCGTCATCTGTGGCGTATGTACCATGCTCTATAAACCTATATCTTGTTCTTGCCTTATAATCCTATCCTTCTCTCCTCAGTAAACCTCATTTTCGTGCTTGCCTAAAAAAATTTAAAAAATAAATAAATAAATAAATAAAATCTGGTTTGAGACCTGGTCTTACACTTATTACCTGGGTGAACTTGTGCAAATAATATCAAGTCTTGGAACCTCATTTATAAAATGAAAGTTCCTTCCCAATGTGGTTGTCATAAGAATTCAGTGAGTTATAATGCGTATAAAGCATTCAGCATGGTGCCTTGTATATTATAAGCATGCGGGACCTGTTGACTATTATCCTGAGTATTCAGTTTTGTGTATTTATGCTCGCTTGCTGGTCCGCCTGCAGATGACTCTGAAAGAATTTGCCATGATGAATGAGGACCAAGATGACGAAGAGTTTCTGCAGCAATACCGGAAGCAGAGAATGGAAGAGATGCGGCAGCAGCTTCACAAGGGTCCCCAATTCAAGCAGGTTTTTGAGATCCCCAGTGGAGAAGGGTTTTTAGACATGATTGATAAAGAACAGAAAAGCACCCTCATTATGGTCCATATTTATGAGGACGGCATTCCAGGGACCGAAGCCATGAATGGTTGCATGATCTGCCTCGCTTCGGAGTACCCGGCTGTCAAATTCTGCCGGGTGAAGAGCTCAGTTATTGGGGCCAGCAGTCGGTTCACCAGGAATGCCCTTCCTGCCCTGCTGATCTATAAGGGGGGTGAATTGATCGGCAATTTTGTTCGTGTCACTGATCAGCTGGGGGAGGATTTCTTCGCTGTGGACCTTGAAGCTTTTCTCCAGGAATTTGGATTACTCCCCGAAAAAGAAGTCTTGGTGCTGACGTCTGTGCGTAACTCTGCCACCTGTCACAGTGAGGATAGCGATCTGGAAATAGATTGAACTGATAGTCTAGTTGCATAGATTTTTCAGTTTGGTCTGGAAGGCACATGTCCTTGTTTATTTTTGTTCCTTTCTTTGTCTTCTGGCTTTTTAGCTGTCCTTTGTAGTCCCTTTTATTATGTGTAAAATCAAGAAATTCTTAGATTAAATCAGAATGCTGAATTACCTTGTGGCTAGCAATAAAGTGACATAAAATTGTATAAACAGGAAGCCAGGCTTTTGAACTGTTTACTTAAGATTTTCTGGCGTGACATCTCTGTTATTGTTTCCAGTCAATATTTACACAGCATTCTGAAGACAGTGTCCTGGAAATTGTCTTCAGATGATCTCAGAGGTCTCTGCCAAGTCTGAGAGTATAATTCTCTAGTTAGTGTGTTATTTGCAACGTAAATAGTGCATTTCCTTAATCAAATGATTGTAAATTATATTTACTTGTAATCAGATCCATAGCCCTAGAAGGCAGTTAAATTCTTTTCCCTAGACCCTCTTCTCCATCAGGGTCTTGTTTAAAGGTTTCAGAGGATGCATGTTTCCCCCGTTGGGTGCAGTGGCCTCTGCTGCTGCATTCCGTGTCCTGCTCCAGTGTTACCAAGTCTGGAACAGGAGGAAGGGTAGATGCTGACTGCCCTCATGGATGCTGAAGGACAAGTGTTTTATGGACTTAAACATTAGAGCTGGGGTGGAGCTGGAAAGCTTGTAAAGGAGATCATCTTTCAATAAGATGTCCTTACTTGTCCTTTTCTCTATCTCTCTTTTATTTAACAAGGTAACTTTTTGTTCAATCTAGATTTTTTAAAAAATCTTTTTTTTTTTTTTTACATATCGGAAAAGTAATTCATATTCAGTAGAGGAAAATTGGCCAAAATATGGAAGCAAAAATAAGAAAAAATAATCTCTAATCTACCACCTAGACTAGTAAAACATTATTAATATTTTGGTATATTTCCTGCCAGTGTGTTTTCTATGTATACATAGACATTTTGTTTGTTTATTTTTAAATGAAACAATGGGATCATTCTGAACATACTGTTTTATAGTGTGGTCAGCTAATAATATATCAGACTTTTTTCGTGTTATTAAATATTCTTCTACAACATTTTTTTAGTGGCTATTAATATTCCATTGTATAGATGTACTATAATTTCTTTGGTGGCTGTCTCTTAAAAAGAAAGAGCAAACACTTTTTTTATTACGAAATGAACAGATGTTCGTTGTAGAAAATAAATAAAAATTGTTAAGCTAAAAAGAGATTTAAAAAGCCATATAATTCCACCAATCAAAATCCCTGTTATATTTACAGGCATCTTTCTAGTCTTTTCTTCTGTGTATTTATAATGATTGGCATTTGAGTTTTTTTCCTTTTGCTTTTTACTTTAAAAATGTATATTCTAGGGTCAGGGAAAATGTAATCGGGAATTAAGTATGAGCTTCAAAACTCACAGTTTTGATTTTCCTGGCTATTCAGGATTTGACTAACTGTAGAGAAGAGTTTTGAAAATATCTGTTGTATTTAATCAATAAAACAAAAGTGCATGGTTGTTTTTGACTAAGAAAGATCATTGTAGAAAGTGTGAAAAGTACAGAAAGTTATTAGAAGCAGAAAGAACTGCAGTCAACGCTCTCATTTATTTCCTTCTGATCTTTTTTAATATTTTTAATACATTGAGTGCTTGTTGAATTTAGTTTTGTGCTTTGCCTTATTTAATATTATTATATCATAAATACTTAGACATGTTTTAAAAATTCTAAATAAATAATTTTCAATGACTATATGATATTCCATCATTTGGATATACCATAGTTTATTTAAATAGTGTCTTAATATTGGCTCTTTAGAGTCCCAGTCTTTTGCTAAAACACTTAACATCTCTATGTTTTGGGCTGTATTTTGGATCATTCTCATAGATTTCTAGAAGAGAAATTACTGGGCAATGTACAGGGACATTTAAAAATCACCTTTACAAGCCATCTTCTGTTCTTGTTGGATATGAAAATATACTGTGCACTCACACACACAGCCTTGACTTTGCCTTTCAAGAAGAGGAGTTCTGAAGTAAAGCAAACAGACATGTAATGGGGAAATCTTAGAATGTTAAATCTCTAACTCGGGTGAAGTGGAAACAGCCTGGGCTTTGGAGTCAGACAGATCTGGGTTCAAATCCTGTCTCTCACTCACTAGTGGTGTAGCCTCTGGTGAGGCACCTAGCCTTCCAGAGGCTCGGTTTCTTCATCTTTACAGTGGGAACAAAAATACTTTTTTATAGAGTTCTGTGATGGTGGTTCTCACATGTGGTCCCCTGAGCAGCAACAGCAGTAGTGGCGGCCTCAGCATCACCTGGGATCTTGTTAGAAATGCCCATTCTCGGCTGCACAACCCAGCCCTACTGAATCAGGGATTCTGGGAGTGGCTGAGCAAACTTTTTACGTGCCCTGCAGGTGATTCTGAGGCCTGTTCAAGTTTGAGAATCACTGACTTATGGATGAAGGTGAGCGACTGCATCTGTCACAGAACAAGGGCTCAGTGTTCTTACTCTGTTCTAACAAGTGCTTACTTCCTTATTCTTCTAAGAGTAAGAGAGGGAAGGAGTTGAAAAGGGATAGTGCTCAGATTGCTTCTCTTCCTCTTTATTTGATGTGATTCTCCTTTTTAACCATGGAATTGGGGGAAGGAAAGAGGAACTAATATTTGTGACCGACTGTGTCCCAGTACTTTTCCAGATTTCACGTTCCTCTGCAATGGAAGTATGAAGGCATGGGCTTTGTTTTCCTCCTTGAATATGGCACAGAGGGTAAGGCTTGCACTCCAGGAATAAGCTGGTACTAGCTTTGGGAGCAAGATACTGAACTCCTCCGTGGCTCAGTTCCCTCACCTGTGAAATGGGGATAGTAACATGAGTCAGTTCGTATAAAGCATTTAGAACACAGCCAGCCTTCAAATAAGTGTTTTTATTGTTCTAGTGCCCACAGCTGTGCCTGGCACTTGAGAAAAGATGCATGAACACTTAAGAATGAACCTGTTGGCTCATTGAATAGCGTGTTCTTTTAAAGTAGGAAGTAGTAGATGTAGAAATCAAGACTTAGTGGGGTTAAGTAACATTCCAGGTTGTACAGCTAGTGGGCAGGGCAGGATTTAAAATCAGGTTTGTGTAGTTCCAACATTTGTATTATTTCCATGATGTCATGTTCTTGGTGGAGAAAGCAAAATGATCAAGTTTCAATAAATAGAAACATTAAAAAAAAAGGTAGTAGAAAACATAAGTTAGAGGAAGAAAATAAATAAGAGAACTTAAAGAGAAAAAAAGGAGTTGAGCTGGGTGGAGCCTTGGGTCTCTAGGGCCTGCCTGAGTTTCAGGTCAGAATCTCCCCCTATCTGGGCTGTGGCTATGACCTAAAATGTGCTCTGCTCCTGCTGAGGGCACCCCCTTCCTACCATGACTCCAGAGAGACCTTCCCAAAGTCCCTCTCTACCCTCCCCCTACAAACTGCCACCCACTACTACTTCCTGCTACAAGTTAATGACTCTAGGGTGTGTGCTCTCTCTCTCTCTTTTTTTTGAGACAGAATCCCCCTCTGTCTACCCCCTGGGTAGAGTGCAGTGGCCTCATTGCAACCTCAAACTCCTAGGCTCAAGTGATCCTCTTGCCTCAGCCTCCCAAGTAGCTGGGACTACAGGAGCATGCCACGATGCCCAGGTAATTTTTCTCTTTTGAGTAGAGATGTGGTCTCATTCTTGCTCCTGATGGTCTTGGACTCCAGAGCTCAAGCAATCCTCCCACCTCGGCCTCCCAGAGTGCTAGGATTATAGGCATGAGCCACCATGTCCGGCCTCTAGCTCTCTTGGTAACCAGCAGAGTGCCCTCAGACAAGTCTCTTCCTCTCCCTGGTCTCAGTTTCCCTATTTGTAAAATGAGGAGTTGAATTAGAGGATCTCTTAAAGCCATTTGGACTCACATTTTATCAACCAATGAATTTTTAAAAATCTGCCTTTTATTTTGAAAACCTTAAAACCTATGGGAAAATTAGAAGAATATTACAGTTAGCCACCTGTATATCCTTCACTTGGCTTCACTGATAGTTTTTTGCTACATTTGCTGTATCTGTTTTTTGTGGAACCATTTGTATGTAAGTTGTGGATATCTTGACTTCACTCCTAAATACTCAAGTACATCTCCTAAGAAAAGGGTCCTGACTCTTTGTAACCACAATACCATTATCACACTCAAGAAAATAAACAGTAATTCAACAATATCTGAAATACAGATCATATTCAATTTTCCCTACATGTTGCCAAAATTTCTTTAATAATCTGTGTAAAAAATTCAGGATCCAATCAAACTCACAAACATTGCATTTTTGTCACTATAGTGTCATTTAAACTGGTACACTCCCCTTGTCTTTGTTCTTGTTTCTCACATCAGTGGCTTTTTATGCATTCATTAATTCATTCAGGTGGCTGGGTTGGCAGTTGGGTCCATTGTGCCCAACCACCTGGAAGCTTGGATGCCTGGCCACGTGCGCTCTTCTGCTGTGGGCTTTTAAAGCATGCGGGAAAACTATCTTATAGAATGCTCCCCATTCTGATTTCTCAGATTGTTTCTTCATTTTTGGCAATTATACAAACAAGTGATATTGTATAGTTCTTTCTGCATCAAGTCAGGGGGTACCTGGTGTCAGCTTGATGATACTGAGTTTAATCACTTGGTTAAGGTGGTGAATGCCAAATCTCCATACTGCAGAATTATTTGCTCCTTTCTAAGTAGAAAGTAGTCTGTGATGTGATGCTTTGAAACTGTATGAATACCGTCTTCTTCCAACAACCTTTACCTAATAGTTTTGGCATCCATTGATAATCTTTGCCTGAATCATATTGTTACATTGGGGCATGCAAAAAGGTGATTTTCTAATTATATAATTCCTTTTATTACCTAGCAATCTTCTGCAAAGAATACCTCTACCTTACTTTCTCTCTGAGTATCACTATGGACATATAGATTTAAGAAAAATTCAATGTCTATTACTAGTATTATTTTGGTGCTTTTGGCCATGGGTAGCCTTTTCAAGCCAGCTCCTATATACTTTGGAGATGACCCATTAGTCTGAGTCCTTCCTTTCTTTTTTGGCCTAAGATGTTTCAGGATCATGTGGTACT